ATTTAAAGAAATCCTGTTAATTTTTATATTTTCAGCCAACATTTTCTCATACATCCTTTTTGATGTCATAATTTCCTGTTTTGCCAACTTTCTTGATCTTCCACAATCTTTTAAATCTCCCATCATACCAGTCAATTTAAGTTTCTTAAATTTATGACTGAAGCATAAATTTTGAGGCATTTTACATTATTTTCAAATGCTTCTAGGAATAAGAAATACAAATTTATAAAAACTTCATGTGTGACATACGTATATGCAATATAGAGAAAAATTGTGCATGCATAAGAGACATTAAGTAACTATGTTTCACCTAGACAGGAAATGTATATGTCAAGTATTAACTATGATGCATTCCAGATGGTATGGAGAACTAACTACTTATCTTATCTACACAAACAAATGCAACTATAGTAAAGAGAAGGCTATGAGAAAGTTTACATTAACTTTGTTAAGGACAAGAAACAAATGCTATTCAAAGACTTAGAAAGGAAACCAGAAACTCTTGGTGGAACTTTGTTTGGTAGGAAGATGGGGAGAGATACATGAAGACAGGTGGCTAATTTAAAAGATTTGCTTATAACCAGTTAACAGTTAGTTTTGGTTTGATAAGAAAGTGAACATCAACCAATGAAAAGAAGGATCTACTCGAAGAACTAACATGTAGAGCTAATTGAATACTCGTAGAAATACTGAAAAACAAGTATAAGAAGTCCTGTTTTTAGCTCAAAAGTCTCCTGGCTCATTAACAGATGTCACTAAACCTGCTAATGAAGAGAAGATGTTAGCTGACTCAACAGTACTATAGCCAAGAACTTCACTGTAGATGTCAGTCTTATGAGAAACTACCAATACTTGTTGCTCAAGCTCCATGCAAGTTATTAATGCTATCACTCTCAGATGAATAGTGTAGGTAGGAAGTGAATGTCAAATTGATAAATTATTTGTTGCAGTAAAGTATTTAATGAGTATTACTGAAAGTTTAATTGAAGAACAGTTGTCTGCTCAGACTGAAGAATATAGCAATTTTAACAGTAACGTTTTTACAGACACATTCGGTAATCTCAGTGTAGCCGAGTATCGTAAGAAATTGAATTAAAGTGTTGTTTGTGTTTTTAAATCTCAGTTTCTGAGACAATTCTTTATTCTAACTTAAACTTCCTTGAGTTAGTGACTTGTGTACTCCACTCGTGACTGTAAACCTGGATTTAACATAAATCTAATTGTAAATGGATTTAAAGTCAAACTCCAAATGACTACCCTCTATGGCCTCCCATTACATGATGCGTTTCTTTAATTTTCTCTCTTATACTCTTTGTGAGCCAACCTGGTTTTTTTACTTGCAGCTACCCTTTTCTTTCTATAAGGAATACGTTTACCTTGAATATTTAAAACGTTTCCACATCTGGTCCGTGTCTCTAAATAACTCAGCTGCCCAATTCACAACAGATAATTCTTGTTGCATCCCTTCAAAATTTGCTTTTTGGAAACTTGTAACCAAAATATCACTATTCCTTATCTCAATTCGCAGAAAAACATTGAACCTAATAGAGCAATGATCATTTGCACCCAGATGTTCCCCAATATCCACCCTTTCAATCATTTCTATATTTGAAGTGAACAATATATCTAAAATAGCATTGTTTACAGTAGATTCCTTGACTAACTGATGAAGAAAGCCATCTTGAACAGTTTCCAAAAACCTTTCTCTTTCACAGTTTGACTCTAGCAGTTCCCAATGTATACGTCTAAAATTAAAATAACCCATAATTATGACTTCATTAACAGCTGAAATATTAATCTCATTGTACAGTTTCTCACTAATTTCATCAGTGTCATCTGGTGGTCTGTAACAAATTCTCACTAAAAGCCTTTTCCCTTTATATCCACTAATAGAATCCCAAATGGATTCAATCTCATTGCTATTATCATTGATATCCTGTATTATTAAAATACAGAGGATATGGAAGTGGCATATCAGTGTGGGTTGAACAAATACAAAGATGTCTCTGTAAAGCAAGAAGGTAAATCATTAAAAATTTTTTATCTTGGTTTGTCAATATCTTTAGTATGTGTTTCTGATTGGTTGAACAATCTGAAGGCATTATAAATGAGAAGTCAGAGCACCCCCATGTCATGTGACTCAGAGGTGCAGAATAATAATTTTCTTAGATATTTCCTTTTCAAATTTAAGAAACTAAAACTTGGATAATATAAAACTGCAAATTATAAGCTACACTTTCATACCAAGTTTATTAAAATACACTGATAATAAAGTGGTTTAATTAAATTTTGAATGCAATTCTGAAAAAATGTTATGACATGCACACTTTGACCCTCCCCTGTTTATAGTGTTAGTTACACAAATTTCAAGAACTGTAGCTATTGATTAATTTGAAGGCCTTTATGAACATGCATGTTTCATATAACACAAAGTTGTACACATCTTTTAAATATGATGGTACCACAATAAAATGTTTTTGTTTTAGCTTGGTTGTGACTGTAAGGTATCCAAAGTTCAAGAAGCCTGGAGCATAAGGTGCATTTGAATTAATACAAGTTTGAAGAATAGAATAAAATCACATCAGAGTTGATAAAATATTGGTTTTCATCTATAGTGTAGATATTGTTCATTTTACTATACTCTTAGTGAAAAAAAAAGAGAAATGCAAATACTATAGGCCTAATGAAGAAGTAAAAATATTTTTCCCTTTATTTATATACATATTTTGATATGTGTAAATAGATAGTGAATAATATATTTTTGCTACCAACTATTCATGTAAGTAGCAAGTTCTTATTACTGCTTTAAAAAGTTAACCTCTACCTCTGATATATGTCTAAATCTTTCACTTGTATACAAAAAACCAATCTGATCTTCTTAAATGTTACCTATATATTTGTGTCAATAATTATACTACCACTATATTTTGTCAATTAGGAAATCAAAAATTAAAATGTAGATTGAATTTTTGATCTTAAGATGAATGTATCTGTTCAAAAGTTCAGTTTTTAGGTTTTTGCAAGGAGAGTTTGAGTACAATACTGTCACCCTTAATTTGAGGTATATTAGCATCCATAACAGTGTATCATGCTAGATGAAAACACACAAACAAACACACATACATACATATACATTGCAAGTTATATTTTGGTATGATTATAAAATGCCCAATATTATGATGTGTGACATCAGTGCACTTTAATTCCCATACTAAATATCGACATATATTACCATGCAAGTATCAGAAAGCTGGACAAAATTCAAGGAAACTTGTATAAATATTTAAAATACTCAACGATCAATGTTGTATAATATATAATTAAAATTTTATTTAAAACCAATCATAGGTCGTAAAAAAGGCACTCTTCATTAAAATTTTATTTAAAAACCAATCAAAGGTCATAAAAAAGGCACTCTTCATTAAAATTTTATTTAAAAACCAATCAAAGGTCGTAAAAAAGGCATTCTTCATGAGGGGATGTTCAAACAAGTAGAGAGCCTTTTTTACATGATCGTTGATCAGCTTTTGAATAAAATTTTGATTGTATATTATACAACATTGATTGTTGAGTATTTTAATATTTTAGAAAGCTGATAAACATTTTTGTTCTTTCATTTGAGATTAATTTTGTTTTTGTGTGTGTTTTAGGAGTTCTTTCAAGATTTGTATATACACGTACATATATTTAGTTTAATAAACTTTTGCATACACACTCATAAGTACTTTTAAAATATTTTTTAAATTCCTTTAGTATCAGATTTTTAATTTTCCTTACATAAATCGTAAATCTTTTTAAATTATTACATAAAAACCCTTTCATTGGTTACATAACTTAAAGTAATCTAACTATATCACAGTTTTGGTTCTTTATACAATACATAATGGTAATAAGTTAGTTTTATTGGTACCCTTGACTTTTGTTCATTGTAGTTGTTTTACACTTTGCAAATCCTCCCACTGGTAGTTTAAAAGTAATGAGTCTTACAGTAGACTTCACCCCAGCATGAGATTCTTGAAATAGATGTACACAAGCTCTATAGGGAGCATGGATGTAACTTTTATAAATAAGATTGTTTAAGATATATACTATCTATTTTCATTTTAAGTGTATATGTAAATATATAAAATTATTTTACTGCAAGTTTTTTTTCCATTGCACTGGAGTACACATAACATATTAGCTATGTGACTGTATTTGTTACTACTGAAAAATGTGTATGTTAAGTGGAGTGAAATAAATAAAAAGCAATAATGAGGTTGTAGAAAAATATATAAATTGGCCTAAATGTTGAATACAGTCTTCTCTTTATCTGACTTATACTTATTTTGTGACATAAAACAAAAACTAAAAATGATAAATCTTGGGTCACAGAATCTGTAGTCAGTACAATAAGTATGAGCGAAACTGTTTCAGTTCTCCAATTACAGACAAACTGTGAAATAGCACAATATGTGTCAATTGGTTTTTATTTCATTATAAGTTGTAAAGTTAAGAAAAAAATCAAATTTAGATTCAAAAACTTTCAAAGGTTACAATGCTTCAAGTTTGAAATGTCTGCATTTCAGATATTGTGATGATAATGAGCTATTGATTTTTATTAATGCAAATATAGAAATGGCAATACATTGTAACCATTCTGGAAAGGGTTAACAATTAATACTTGAAATATGGCCAACCTTTATTGAAGATGACTATTATAATACTAATAACTGCTTTATTAATCTCTTAATCTCCCAAACTGTGTTGTATTAAACAGAAAGGTCCATGTTGGCAGTTACACTGTTTAGGACTTAACAATCCACATCCAATAAAATGGATGCAGCCATTAAGTGCTACAGATAAATATGAAAGATCCAACAGCCAGTATCATTCATCTGGCAAGTCCAATATAGCAGTTCTTTTTGCAAAAACTTTATACTAATAAAATTCACATTTTAATCTAATGCACACACATAAAAAATTGAACTATTTATTAAAGAAACTGGGATATGACTCACCTTCAACTCTGGGGAAAATGTAAAAAGGAAAGACTCTCCTGTTCCATAGAAATGCTCACTTATTTTCAATGAACATGATGTCAGGGCACCAAAAACCTTGCAGATTGGATAGAATAAAACACACTGAACTAAACATTTAAGAAACAACAGTGCTGCAGATCACTTTAAAAAGTATTATAAACATAAAAGTAAATGCAATATCATTTTTAGCCAATTAACTTCAGTTTGTAGTAAAGGGTAAATAAAAATCAGTTTTAAGAACACTACAAATATAGTTAAAACTGCATAGGCGATGAAAATATCAAAACTGAATAATAGGTTGAACAGTCATTAAGTTTTTATATATTTTTATCTAAAGAAGGATGACATTTCGAGCTAGTGCTCTTTGTCAGATTGTACAGTTTACAACCAACTGTACGATCTGATGAAGAGCACTAGCTCGAAACGTCATCCTTCTTTAAATAAAAATATAAAAGAATGATGGTTCAACCTATTACTTAATTTTAATATAAGAACACTACACCATACTACATAAACCAATTTTATGTTATCTTTAACAGGTATGAGGTTTCTTAAAAATGAAAACAAACAATCAGAAAGACTGTCGCAAATCACACCTAAGTGAAAATTTTAATAAGAACATACCACGCATTACTGCATTTCTATGTTCTTGTACTATCAGAAAATATTTAGTATTATTCTGAATTAAACATTTATTTTGTAAAGGTACAGGTTTTACATAATGTGACTAAGAAAGTTGTTAAGTTGATTTCATGTTAGCTGATTTTGTTCCTTTGTTATTCACTTATAGATAATATCTAATCTGAAGATATTGCTGGAATACTGCATGTTGCACAAGGATGCTCACAGCAATATATTCAGTGGTAGTTCAGGTGATGTCTGAAGGTTACAGCCTCACCTACATTTCAATGAGAACAAACACACATGTGGGTAGCACTAGTCCTTCTGGGTAACTATGAAATTTCTTGTGAAGTAAGAAACATTGGATTTAGAGAGTCTGGTACATGAATTTGACCCGATAAGTTGAAAATAAAAGATCCAGTAAAAATTATTGTCAAGTGTCAATAAATCATGTATACATAATGTGTTTAAGTCTGTTTCTCTTCATGTCCAGTCTCATTATTTCATTCATTCTCACAACTCAGTTATCTAGAGATACAGCACTATATTGTAATGGGTATCTTGACTGGGTCTTTTGTTATTAATTCTCTCACTAAAGGCTCGGTCCCATGGAATGATTACAGTGGGCCCAAAAGATGAAGAATGTTACTTTTTACAGACGTTTTTGTTACACATTAACTCTCTCACTATGGGCTTGGTCCCAGAGACTGACCTCGTAACCATTTTGTGCTTGTTATAGTTTCATACTATAACTTTTAATATGTAATTGATTATCAGTAAACATTACAAGGCTTTTGTATGAAAAATATCAGACTTTTTTTCATTAAGTTTTAAAATTTTTAAGTAATGTTTATCTCATGCATTTTTCTTTATGAATGTTGACTATCCAATATGCAAAGTAATTTTGATTTTAAGATTAAAAATATTTTTAAGCATCAGAAAGTTTTAAATTTCACATGCGAAATCTTTATAACCTCCACATAATTATCAAACATTTATTTTTTTGGTCAGGTTAGGGTTGTGGTAAGTTCATCAGGATCTTGCTCTTTCTTGTTTTTGACATATATAAGCTACAGGAACCCAAACTTTTTGTGGATTTATCCTTAAGCCACAGAATAGCTGCTGTCAAGTACTTGCTTTAGAATAATCACAGTTTATCAGTAAACTGTTTTTGTTGTATATGTTGAGATGGTCCATTTTTCCTTGTTTGCTTACAGTTGGATTTTTTAATTAAGTTTGGCTTAAGAAATGTAGAATTTCCCATTTTTGCGGTACTTAATACTTATCTGTTGACCAAGCGCACCTTGCAAATCTCAATCTCCATTGGCTTTGTGCCATCACTAAAGATATCTTATCTCCTCTCACAAAAACCTAGAATCCCACATTGAACCAATGGAGGGCCGGTGAGAATGTGATACCCCTTTTTAAAGCACCTAAAGAAAGAAAATGAGGTGTGGTAAAGAATTGAAAACAACACACAAGTGGAAGACTTCACCACTTCTGAACCAGGTATACTCTTCTCTCTTACAGAATGTGTTGCCAAAACATAAAGGGAGGAAACAAGGAGGGTACCAAAAATTTTCAGCAGGAAAAGGTGTCAAGTGGTTAGGGTGCAACAGACTGTAAATGGGAGTTTGACCTCAACCAACACCTGGCAGTATCTGGAATTGTACGTCAGGTCCACGGTAGGAGGAGGGTCATTTACCTTTCACGTCAAAAAATGGGTTCTGGGAGGGGAGACAAGCTTCCGTACCAAGAACCTGCCTCTACATGTGCAAAACTCCCACACAACCAGCATCTGATCCACCAGAAACTGACATCCAATAGATGATAGGAAGTAAAGAGAGCTCAGGAGGCATTTATCTCCGGTCCAAAACCTGGTGGCATTGGAAATGTGTCCTCCAGTCTGTGGTAAGAACAGGGAACCCAGCATTACACATGTGGGAATTCATGTGTTTCACCCAGATTCCAACAATCATCAGATCCACAGGAAAGTGAAATCTAGTGGATGGTAAGAAGAGAGATAACAATTTGGGGTTGCATCTCCAGTTCAAAACTTAGCAGCATTATGGTCCAGTCCATAATAGGACGAAGGTACCAGTCAAACATATGTGAGGACTTATTTGGCTGGATTATGTCCAAACAACACAAGATCCACCATGAACCAACATCCAGAGGAAGGTAGGAACGTCTCAGCCAGAGGGGAAAACTGCAAAAGATATGTTTAGAAATGTCAGAGTGCTACAACCAACACCTGGCAACATCTGAAATTGTATATAAGGTCCATGGTAGGAAGAGTCTCAACACCAGAGAACATCAGAGATGGGCAGTAATCCCTGTCTGCTTTACCCACATACCCGTGCTGATGATATGCTTCAAAAAAAAAGACAGAAATGGTCAAGTAATGGATCTGATGTATATATATATCAGAAAAGTTAAGAAATTGTGTAGGGAAATAAACATATATATTACATGTAACGTGTTGAAGAAAACAAATATTTATACTAACTATCGATTAACCCAGAAGTATAACCACACACAAACTGACATTAATAGACATTTGTTAAGCTAATAAAATGTTTAACTTAATTAGTGATTAACCAGCAAGTAGAACGACAGGTAAACCTAAAATAACACACAGATGTTAAGCCTAATCGAACAGTGCAGGACAAAGGTATCACTAAACTAAAATAAAAATCTAAACCTAACAATAAGTATGTATAATACTGAGAAAAGTTAGTGAGCATCTTAGCTCAAGGGTTCCACACAAACCCAGTGAATATGAAGAAGTATAAAAGATAAATAATAACGAAAATTAAATAAACATGAATTTATAAAATGAAGGAAGTGTGTATTAACAATAACCTACTTATGAGACATGATGTATGGAAGAAAAACAGTACTGGTAAACAAATGACTGATATACCAATAAGATAACTTACACGTAATCCTAAAATAACAAAGACCCCTGGTAAGCCTAAGTGAATGGTATAGGAGAAAAGATACAACTAAGTCTAATGTCTAACCTGAACTGGACTATGAATATCGACCAATCTAACAAAACTTGTTATAGAACTTAAATAACTACAGATAACAATAATAAAAGTATTCAAAAACCATAACAGTAGAATGTCTTATCTTTCCAAAGTGAGCAGACTGTATTTCTAAATGTGTGGGCCCCAAAACTTAAGGCAAGGCCTGATGAAGGTCAACTCATTGGATGATCAATCTCCCAATGAAGTAAAGCCAATAAGTTTTCCACAGAGTACCATGACCTGAAGCCTGTGTAAATGTGCTGATACAACATGCAACCTCCGAAGTGGTAATGTAGAATTCATAATGCAAAATGAATAACCAAATACAACTGTGTTAGAAGAAATAAATAAAACGTGTTTGTAATGAAGAAATAAGTTCCATAATCTGGTAGAAACATAAAATAATTCCAATTTGGAATAACTCAACAAATGACAAATATCACTAATGTATAATAAAGGGTTAAGAAAAATGAATACAAAGTTACAGAAATAAATTAAAACACTTGAAGAGAGCACAAACTAAATGTTACAACACGATTACTGCCAAACGAGAAGTGATAGTTTGATAGAATTGAATAGAGGGAGTCATATGCATCAAAAGAGAATGTCACACCCTTTTTTGTAGAGGGTTGTCACATGATGATTTGCATTGGAATCAGTTAATTCTATATATGGGAGCTTCAAGGCTTGTGGAATGTGCAAACAAATATTTTGCATATAGAGGGCAGCACTGAAAGAGAATAGCTATTTATGTCAGCGAAGGTAATGTACCATATTGGAAAATAACTCAATATTTCCTTAGAACTAAATTAATGCCCTCAAATAACTTATTACTCCTTACAGTACAAAAGGGTTCCAACAAAATCTAAACCAGGCCTTATAAAGTTCATCTTTTTGTAACAAGAATTCACCTTCTACAAAATACACTGAAGATATATACATTTATGTTTGTTTTATTAATATGATACTATTCTTAAACCTTTTATAATAAATGTGCAAATTTGTAACTGAACATAAAATTACTGTTTTATAACTTACAGTTTTTTCAGTATCAGCAATGACTAAGATAACTGGGGTTTCAAATTTTAACATTTCTCGGTACAATGTTTTCAGGCTGAAGCCATGCTTGGATGAAGAATAGATGAGTGTCCATGGATAGCCCTCTGCCCGGGGTGGAAGATGCAGTGCTAACTAGAAAATGAAAAAAGATGAACAGGAAGCTTCGAACAAAGTCAACATATAAAATCTATCACTTCATACATAATGTAACAAGAAAAGTTTTATTCATCAGTATATCACCATGCATTTAAAATCTTTTTTTGTGAGATAAGAACATGAACCATCAAATAAAAAAATGAATACAACAAGTGATGACTGATACTGACATTTTACTAGCTGATATATTGAAGAAAATTATGTTTGTATAATGTACTTTAAAGGCAAGTTTTTGAAATCAAAATATAATCACTTTTATATGTTTTTTAATAATTCCTACCATAAATTTATCAATAGCAGACATATAAAAATGTAGAATAGATAATTTAACCTTTGCACATTAAGGAGTGATTGTAATGATGTTCATCTGAGGGAGATGCATTTGCAGCGTGCAATTATAAAATTTTCGATACACATAGAACAAAAGATCTGTGTAAACAGAATAATTTAATCATCACAGACACTTCTTATGATGTTTGAATGTGTTGATATATGAACTTCATACAGTAGTTAAACTGAAAATTTGCTAATTTTCTTATACACATACAAAATGGTAACTACAGCCACATATTTTCATGAACACCTGACATCCAGAAGATTTAAAAACAAAACAAGAAAAAACATCACCAATAAATAACCTTAAACTTAAACTAATAAAAGGCTAAAAAACACAGCTTCAGCTTCAAATAGATAAAAATAAATCCAGTCTTATGGTTGACTCTGAACCAGTAACCAAAGTACTGATTTTATTTTAAGATATATTATACATTTGGCTATACTTTTACACACAGATATATCAAAGAAAACAATTGAAGATGTATTAACATAAGCTGATTTTGTTCAGCACAATATTTTTTTTGAAATAAAAAAAATTTAAGTAATACCATTTCACTCCTTGCCAATATGCTTTATGTGCATAATTGTTTACAAAATTAAAGCAACCAGTGCAATTTTGCTACTCAAGCTATGAGAGAATTTATTAGTGTTGTTGTTATATGTCAAAATGAAAAACATATAATATGAAGAGGAGACCTCACTCAACATTCAAACCAATCATCATATCTTCATACTCACAAACAAAAAACTTTTTTCCTTTTTTACCTATTTCATTGAATGAATAAGGCCAGAAAACTCCTAGTTTATATAAATTTTCTGTTAATTGCAAGTCCACTACCATATTTTTTATTAGAATATTTTTGTAATAAAAAATCAAAAGTTAACATTTTCCTACACTGAAAATATATTTCCGATAGATATTTATCTCCTCTCAGAAAATAGCTTTTCTTGACTAGCACTGCCCCTATCGCCGAATATTTTCAATGCACATCACTAGCTTTCCATCTCCCACTTCTGGATATCCATATGCTAATGATCATGCAGCAGTTTTCCACCAATAGGATCGCAACACCATTCCTATCGTAACAAGTGCACTCTACACATCTACACTCATTAATCACTTCAAGATTGGTCAGAAGACCTACACCATATATCATTGACAGTGAGGAGGCTGGGTGAGAAATGTGAGAGGTAGTAAGTATCTACTGGATATACATTTTCAGTGTAGGAAAATGCTAACTTCTAATATGATGTCTTACCCTCTCTCACAAAATAGCTAGAATCCCACAGTGAATTGGTGGAGGGCCAATAAAAAAATTATTCCCTTTAGGAATCTCCCAAAGAGAGACCAGGAGGTGTGGAACCAAAATAAAAAACTTCACACCTCAGCAAGAGACTGCACCACATCTGATCCAGGTATACTCTTCGCTCTTTTATGACAATGTTGCGAACATAAAGGATGGAAAAACATGAAGGAAACCCAGAATATGTATGACTTCTGAATAGGACTCCTGGGTGTCAAGTGGCTAGGGTGTGACAGGCTGCAGTTGTAGTTGAACCTCATCCAACACCAAGCAGTATCTGGAATGGTATATCAGATTTCCATTAGGTAGAAGATCACTTACCTCTTCACCTCGAAATGGGAATTGGTAGGGAAGACAAGCTTCCATAACAAAATCCATCTCCACTTGTGCACATTTCCAACACAACCAACACCAAATCCACCGGGAACCGACATCCAGCAGATGATAGAAAGATGGAAAGCTCCTGCAGGATGACATCTCCGGTCCAGAACATGACAGAAATGGGTATGGTATATCGAGTCCATAGTAAGAGGAGGATATACAACCATACACAAGTGGGAAAACGTTTCTGCATCCAGCTACTACCACCACCAGATCGAGCAGATGGTATGAAGAGGGACTGCAAACCTGGGGTGCATCTAAAATTTAAAACCTGATGGCAGTGGGCATTTGTCATTCAGTTCACATTAGGAGGAAGGATACTAGGTAGCACACATGTGAGGACTAACTTAGTTGGAGCATCTCCAACCAACACCAGACCCACCAGGAATGTACATCTGGAGGATGGTTGGTACAACGTACGTCTCAGCTTGAGGGGCAAACTGCAATAATATACATATATATATATATATATATATATTTGTGGCATGGCGGAGTGCTTCACACCATCTACAAATGATACTAATTGTGACTGGGCCATCTCCAACCAAATCCAGACCCACCAGGAATATACATATGGAGGATTGTAAAAAGGAGGAATGCCATGGTAGGGAAAAACAATCGGTCAGATATATAGACAGGAATACGGTGTAGTGCTACAATCAAAACCTGGTGGCATCTGGAATTGTACATCAGATCCATGATAGGAAGTGATAGGAAGCAACATCTGCAGAATGCCACTGCCCTACTCTCAACTTAGTGGTATGATTCATCACTTAGGAGGACAGACCTGCATGGTCCACCACCCCAACAGCTAGAAACTGGTAAGTGGTAAAGACTCTCATACTCCAGTAAAAGAAAATGAGGAAAAATGCATTAGAGAGTCCAGAGGACTGTATCACCAAAGACAGTGCAACAGGTGACTGCAATACCCTATTTTGAAAAGCAGTACAAAATTAACTTAATGACTTTCTTGACTACATGTTATGTGAAAACTGCACATACCTAAAACATCATATTTTAAATATTAAAATAAAGTGAGAAAATGTATAGTTGTTTTCATGCTATACATTCTGATTTTATAAAGTTTCAAAAATTAATAGTGCTGTTTATGACTCATTCAGTCTAATTATGATTCTTACCTTTGCAACTATACAACATTCAAATTATTACAGGATTTAAGAATAAAAATGGATATTCATTTCATTTTTATTTTCATTTAGATAATTATATTTTTCTCTTGAAAGTTTATGGCTAACTGTGGCTAAGCTTTAGAAACAAGAGTAGCCACAGTGGCTATAAATAGAGACTCTGTAATGGTAATCTTAAATTTACTTCTGGTCTTCAACATTCAACTGTACTTCCTTACTGACAAGCCCTAAATACTCACTTAAACTACTGTCTTTGAGCCAATGTAAAATGTCAATGATATTAACTTGTGAGCCGTAGACATATGAAGTCGAAGTACAAACTGGCTCATATTGCAGGCTCAACAGAGAAATTCAAATATCAGTACTTGTACATGTTTATGTGTAAATATTTATACTTGTACAGCATGTCAATAGGGAAGCAAAATAAATCAGTTAGAAGAAACTGAAACCATAAAGAACTACTCTGGGTGATTTGTTTGGCAACTTAAAAAAAAGCCTACATCCAGAGCTTTCAAAGGTACATATACATATATCTGATTCACATTTCTTGCTTTCAAGGTTTCAGCAGTATTAGTGAAAAAATAAAACTTATTCAAATTAGTTGCCTCAGTAATTGCAAAACATTCTTGAAGTATTTGGATTATCAAAACATATAAGAAAAAAAAGTGTGGATTTTTAAACAATTGTTTAGCCTGAAAAGTGTATCTATAACTTTTAACTTAAATGAGTACTTTTCAGAAGTAGGAATCTAACATTACCAATTCACATTTTTTCCAGAATTTTAAGCAAGTATAAATGAACATTAAATGACAATATTTCCAAAATTTGCATAATTTATTTATAGTATGAATGTCTAAGGCAAGGTTAAAATTTGAAATGTTTTTTGCGGAATCACAACACATACAAAAGGCATTATGCAGGACACAAGGAATATGAATGTATAGTTAATTTCCATACAGATAAAAATACCTTGACTTTTAAATTAGATAATTTCAGTTAATGTAATGAAAGATATGACTAAAGTGAATTCAAAATATGTGACTTATGAAGATTTTATTGTAAGTACTATTTTGAAATATTTCCTGAAAAGAAATCAAAATTTAACATAAAAGAATTATAAGTATTTTATTCAACATATAATAAACCACCCAAACTAAAATAATACAAAAATTATTCAATGTATCTTGTGTATATCAATTAGTGTTCCAATTTCATTAACATTGGTGATTATACCTTCTTTATGTACATTGTTATACATTTTTGTCATTTTAAAATTACGTTACATATTGAAAAATACAGTTACTGTGCACCTTTCAGTACAAAAAATATGAAAAATATCCTTCCAGCTAACCTTTTTGCAATGTTCTTCTGTCAGGATATCACTTTCTTCCAACAGTTCTATGAGTGGCAATTCAGCAGGGTCTATTTCTTGTGGCTTTTGGGCCTCACTCATTGACACAACCTTAAGAAATACATTCATAAAAAAAACAGAGAATTAGAAAACAATAATCATAATACTTATTAGACAAGAGATATCTCTAGTTAACACTTAAAGTAATACACAAATTCAAATAAAATCTACCTAGAAAGCAATGTTTTAAACACCAAAAGTAAATGTTGATTGTTTATTTCTGAGATGTGGGATTTGTCATCTGACATACACTCAAGATCAACAAGTTTTAAATGGCAACCTGCATTATCAAAGAAATTACCAACATGTGTTGCATACAGCTGGAAAGCAAACAACCTCAATTTTTCCAAATCAAACATCAGAAAAAAAAAGGCAAAGATGAGTATATATCAGCAAATATAAAACCACAAATTTTAATACCTAAAATCATATAATACTCAGGCATTCTGTACAACCAACCTATTTGGGTAATTAAAACAGGCATATGTAGTACAAGATGATATTATGTACCTGCTACCCCCTTAGTTAAAATGTAAATTTTTTCAAAGTTGTTGTTTTCAGAATTCTCTGTTTTACAACAAGATTTACTCAAGTAAAATTTTAACTTTCCCTGTTTTTAAAGCATGTAAGATATGGGTCTGCTAATAAGCAATTAACTGACATTCTTGCAAGAAAGATAACAAATAACATCTACAAATACAGTTTTCTATCCTGTTAGGAAAAATCGTTTTACCAGGAATACCACACCTCAAAGATGTCATTCATCATCTACTGTGTAGGTTTTAGTTTTCTATCATAAGATTTTTATAACAAATAAATAAGTTTAAAATACACCCACTGATCTTCAGATTTACAATATTTTCACACATAAGAATTACATTTTCAATACTCGTTCACTGTCAGGGTTTTAGTGTAAGTGGGTGTCTGTGACTTGTTGGTGATAAATGTCAAGAATAAACAGACAGCACACAATCCACTTGTTTTAAAATAATGTATTCAAAATAGCCTAACGTACATACAAAAATTTGTTACGTCATTGGATATCATAGTTGTATCTAAAACTCTAAATAATTCTCTTCTTTCTTCTGTTATCACAATATAACTTGTGATAAGTTCAGTTACGTTACCCTGTGTGTTACCACAGTTGTATAAAGAGCTTTAAATAATTCTTTTTTACATCAAAAGTCCACATAGGTTGGTTTGGTTACTTTAGAATGCAAATGACAAAACAAATAATTTCTTCTCTACTTTTTTATCACAATAGAATCGGTGATAAGTTCACTTACATTATCCTATGGGTTACCACAGTAATATCCAGAGCTTTAAATAATTCTTTTTTACATCAAAAGTCCAC